TTTCCAGAAACTTAGTTCTTCGGGTGGCGCTGTCGGTCTAAAGATTTGTGATGTCATTTACTGCAAAGCTCCCCTCGCTCTCGTTCCTGACACTAGATGGCGCTAGTGTATCGTCGACTGGAGCGCGTAACACTGCCCCCCTCCTAAGACATGCTCGTCCCGAGCATTATCGGCCCCATAATAACGCGCCAAGCGATCCACTTGGACGATCTTAGGAGTCCCTCTTGCGCCTTTCTGTAACGGCTCCGCAATGTCAAGGGCTGTCCTATCCCGTGGTGCACCAACATTGTACAATTTCGGTGCTCCTCTACTACGTGTCTGAGGTTCCCGCACATCCGCACAACTTGTACATGTACGACACCAAGCCTCGACATCGTCACGATAATGGACCCAGTAAAACTGTTCTCGGACCTTCAGTAGAGTTCGTTTAACTCCCAGATGGACTCTTGAACGACCATTATGGCACAGCTGTAGAACATTCGGCACTTTAGCTTTAGGGACAACCATTTGCAAACGACAGCTGTCTCCTCGACCATTGTCCCATTTACGGCACAGGACTCCATCCTGAAGCAGCAAGCTGTCCCATTGGGCCCAATAGCTTTTCGTGGTTGAACTCATCGCTAAGACGTCCCTCCACTTAGGCTTGGTAGCACGGGCCTTCATCCATCCCAGAATCGGCTTGATGTCCGGATCTTCCTGCTGTGCATGTCGTAGGCTGTCCTTCCACCCGTTGCTGAGGTGGTCTATTCTGAGCATCCTCACGGATACCACTTCCTTACCTTGCCTACTAAAATGGTTGCCATCTTCAGGACAAGGTCTTCTTGACAATGCATCTGTGTTGCCGTGAGATTTCCCGCTGCAGTGTCTGATAGTAAAGTCGTGCTCCTGCTGCTGCTGGGCGGTGCTGTTAGCCGCACTTCCTTTCTGAGACCGTTCACCTTCCCTTCCTAGGGTGTGCTTAGGGCAGCTGGACCGAAGATGGCCCCACACACCCCAACCGCATCCCCCACGGTTCGCTTAGGGCAGCTGGATCGAAGATGGCCCTTTTCCCCACAGCCATAGCACCTAGGGCTGTATCCTTTGTTGCGGTCGCGAACTGTAGCTGCTGCAACCTCCCTGACGCGATGGGAAGGATGATCCTGCCGCACGGCTTCCACTTCCAGTGCATGGGCCAAGGCATCCTTAAGCGTCTCGTAGTGCCCGAGCCTCACAGCAGCTCTGACTTCCAGGATCACGGATGCCGTCGATGAATGTCTGCACCAGGTTCCCTTCAATGAGCGCAGGTACAGACCGGTATGCTTTTCGCACCAGCTTCTCCACCTCTAGAGCCCACTGCTGCAGGTTTTCGTTGATGCGCTGCACGCGATCTTTAAGCTGCGCGCGAAAGACGTGTTCCAGGTGAGCGTCGCCATATCTCGCCTCCAATGCCTCAAGGAGCTGCTCGTAGGTCACTTTCTTACCGAGAGCTTCCAACACAGTTAAGGCTTGGTCGCGCAGGCCTAAGGTGAGTGCAGTCATGGCCTGGCTTTTATTCCAGCCGTTTGCCTCCATGACGGCCTCGAACTGGATTTTGTAGGCCGACCAGGAAGAAGTCCCGTCGAACGGCGGCACTTTGAATCCACGTAGCGAAGGTGTAGTAGCTACTACGGGAGCTGTAGTTCCATCACCCAGTTTGAGACCGTCCAGCGTTTTCTTCACGTCAGCCACCACGTAATCAACCCGATTGTTCACTTGGTCGATTTTGGGTTTTAGCTTCCTTGATTTGGGTTTCAGATTCCGACAGGCGGTTGTCATGTTGAGCAACCTTATCCTTCACCTCCTTTATCTCTTTCCCAAAGGTAGCATGAAGGTCCTTAATGAGGAGCATCTGCTCTTCGACCGACGGGCCTGTTCTTCCTGTCGGCGGGCCTGCTCCTGTTGTCCGCCCCGCAGCTGCTCTTCCTATCGGCGGGCCTGTTCCTCCTGTCCGCTCTGCAGCTGCTCTTTCAACTGACGGACCTGTTCCTCCTGTCGGCGAGCCTGCTCCTGCAGCATCACCATCAGAGCACCTAAGTCAGGTGCTGCAGATGCAGGAGCTACCGACGGGCCTGCAGCCGGTGGCTGGCCCTCCGACGTCTGCGGCGTTGCACCACCAAATCTTCGTTGGTCCGTCTCCTGCTGGCGTTGACTTCGGGTACGGACACCCTCCGTTTCCTCCTTAGGTAAAATCGGCATGATTTTATCCCACTTCTGACACCAAATTGTTACGAGCTTGAGGTTCGTGACAATAAAAATTTCCGATAAAATTACCTAAATTAACACTTTAATTTACTTTACACAAATTAAAACTAAAAACACTAATAATTAAACACACTAATTCACTTAATTCCGCTCCGAAGCTTCGCTTGTGTCGCCGAGTTCAACTCTGCCCCGATCGCATCTTGCAGCGCCTATTTATATAATTAGCAAAGAAGCGTCCCGAACATTCAAGTAAATGCGCGCCAGGCAACGAGTATTCGAGTGTAGATTTTCCAGAAACTTAGTTCTTCGGGTGGCGCTGTCGGTCGAAAGATTTGTGATGTCATTTACTGCAAAGCTCCCCTCGCTCTCGTTCCTGACACTAGATGGCGCTAGTGTATCGTCGACTGGAGCGCGTAACAATATCATTCAACACAAGTCTTTAAGATTAATTATAGGCGCTATGAATTCGTCACCTATCAATGCCTTGCAGATTGAATGCGGTGATCCTCCACTTTTTATTAGACGACAATATTTATCGGATTCCTTTTTTTATCGGGTTCTTCAATTTTCCGTTCTTCAAAAAATCCGTTGATTGTTTGTCAAGAGTTTTGTTCAACAAAACAAGTATTATCAAAGCGTTCAAAAGGTATGTTCATTTTGTATCAATTTAAGCTGTAATTTTGCACTCAAAATTAGTCGCCACGTGCTAAACTTTGTTAATACATTTCTTTCACAGAACATGTAATAATTGTAAATAAACGAACAAATTGCTTTTGTATAAAGTCTTGAATATTTCTCTTTATTAAAATTGTGAAAGTTAGATACTGATTCAATTGTATATTGGCAGGTACCTTTTGAAACTCTGCTGAATAAACGAACATTTGTCAACTTTGGACTTCATCATTTGTCAACAAAGAACCCAAATCCACTGAATTCACAACAACATAAAATATAATCTTCCATGCCAGTAGAGCCGAACTTTTCTTTATTAATATTTGTTATCGTTCGTTTGCTAATTCCAAGCGCCTGAGAGACGCGTTCTTGTACTTGTTCGATAGGTAACAGGGGTCCTCCATTTTGCCGCTCCCGCTCAAAGTAATCTTGCAGCTTGATGATTAACTCACGAGCTCCACTTTTTAATGTTTGTCCACGTTTAGGCATTATTATGCACCAAAAGTAAAAAGAACGCATTACAAAACACAATCGAAGTCCGATTTAGCGCCGATGTCAGTTTGAAAAGCAGAAACAGTCCATTAAACGAAAGCCGGGTAATCAAATAAAAAGAGATCGAAAACACTTGAAGAACGTGGTCTATGCGTACGAAACCACAATAGACGACTGTTTTAGCGTCACAAAATGGCGGCCCATAACGCCATTTGGGGTTACCATTTTCAACCTAAATATAAAAATGCTACTTTCTTTCGGGCGTTTGGTTTGGTCGTAGTTTTTTTTTATATTTAATAAAAGTTATCTTATAGTCCATTATTTTCAAATTCTTAAAAAGAAAAACAAAACGTATTATTACATTATACACAGTATACACTGTCATAAGAACAGATGACGATACTGTTATTGCCTGTAATTGTTAGCACAGCACTACAAATATAAAGCGCTGACATAACCTTGTAATAGCGCAGTATAGATTTAGAAAAATATTGTTTACCAAGTTATTTGACACTCAGTTTGACACAAAATTATAACACTCATTGATTATTGATATAATAATGTTGTTTTAATGCTCATCAATTGTTAAAAGGGTAAACAACCAGCAAAAATATTTTTATCGTAACTGCAACGCCATTACAAAGTTACGTCGTCAGTTCAATCGCGACGTGTCAGGAACGCATTCTCTGAACGGCCGAACTATAATAATAATGAAAATCGTAATGAAAAAATTTAAACATGACCTGTTAAATATATTTGTATGAATGAAAACTGTTGAAATTAGTACAAAATATAATTATTTACGTAAATTTATATAAAATAAATTGTTACAGAACGTACGACAACTTAACCGCGTGTATACGGGTTTGACATACATATTAAAAAAGTAATTGATTATCAATATGTTTTTTTTTTCTTCAAAAAGTACGCGTCTCCGCATGTTGGAACTTTGCGTGTGTGCTTATAGTAATTTAACTTTTCTGTAAAAAATATCAACCCCTAACTTGATGGACGTCAGTGAAAAACTGTGCCCAACATTTTAAAATATATCGAAATTGATACGACATCGATGCTCTAAAATAAAAGTATTGAATATCGATATATGGCGATGAAAATATGGACGATATATATATGTCGATATTTTTTTGTTATTATATCGCTATTTCGATATATCGATGTTTTTGTCAAGCCTATAGGACCTTTATGCCTATATGTTTCCAGCTGTCAAAATAAAAAATATACATACTAAACCTTTTGGGGTAGCTATACTATATATATATTATGTTCTGTATACTAAAAAAAGCTCCCAATAGCTATCTGTTCTATCTCAATTTTAAGTTTGTGTCGGAATATAATTAATATTTTATTAATTTGAAATTCTATCACAAAACCTTAAATCTGTATTGCTCAAACATTTGCATGATATAGATAAACGTGCTAGAATTTATTTCAGTCTAGAATTTTATCAAAGACGAAAAGAAGCCATATGTTTTAGATTTCAGATAAGATTTGTGGGATTACTCAGAGACGAGTTGATTAGTCAGAGTATATTTATTAATTAGCTCATATAAGAGCCACTATGTGGACATTATAAGGTGCGGTTTCGATCTGTTATTATGGTATACTCATCTTACTCGAGCTTGTTCGATTTCGACGACTACGAGAACGACGATTTTGAGAGTAACGAGGTGAGTCATAGTTTTGTAAACCTTAATACTGAATCGGATTTAACGCGCTCCTACGTTCAGTGCCGTATGTAAAGCAAAGCCATCATCAATCGTATTCACAGTCAGAAGTGTCATTTGGCCTGCTTTATTCTGACCTTGTCTGTTGTGTCCTGCGTTAGGCTTCTTTGTTAAATATTTCATCCTTTGACTCAAAAGAAAAGGTAAATAAGCTTTGTATGTTTTCTATTCATTATAACTTGTTTTGAAGTTGTTTTTAGATTAAATTATCCTAAAAATGTGCTCTGTTAAATTAGAATTTTGATATAACACTAGCTTGTGCAAAAAATGTGTTTTACATTCTTGCCCATTATTTACAATACATGGTTCTGGAGTATGATACCAATTATTTTAATAAAGTATCTTCTCATTTTTGACTCATCTCTTCTCTCTTTTTCATCTCAAATATGGAAAGAGACCGGATATGCCTTTCAGTGGACACGAGGCAATATGGATCAATTTAAAAATGTATGACCTAAAAGATGTAAAATTTTTTATTTCTTCATTACCATCATCGTCATTACAGTCCCACATAAGTCCACTGCTGAACATAGGCTTCCCCCAAGGAATTCCACAAAGCACGGTCCTGATCTACCAATGCCCATAATCTTCCTGCATCTCTTAACAGTTACGAGCTTGCCATTTAAAAACCCCTTTTCCCCATTGGTTGTCAATATATTTATAAATCATCAAATCAACATAAAAATTAATATTGTATAGTAATAAAATAGGGTGAAAGATAAGCCTTTTATTTATTAGACCCTTTTTACTGGAAACATGACATTCCATTATAGTCCTCACGGGTGACAATGCATCTGCATTTTGATTTGTAATCGAGGATAGGTGTTGATGTCTATGGATCACAGCAACCACTTACCATCAAGTGGACTGTGTGTTCGTTTGTCACCCTATCCTATAAAAAAAAATTAGGTTGTTACTTGTACATTACCCTCGATAAGAATCAAAATAAAAATGTGTTGTCAACTCTAAGGACTAAGATGGAATGCCTCACTTCTGGTAAAAAGGGTCTCCAATTCTCTACACTAACCACATGAAGTAAGCAGCATTGAGCTGCTATTTTTTTATTATTATTCCCTTGTTTCACAATGGTATGCTTACTGTAGTAAGCATGCCATTACATTAGCTTATACTATCGTATATGGTATGCTTACTTATGGTATACGGTATGCATATTGTAGTAAGCATACCATTAGGTGTGTAACTTGTAAGTTTGACACCTTGGTTTGACTAGGAATAACTTTAATATAGTGAAGTCTTGGACTTCTGTAACATTACTCGACTTCTGTAACATTATGTATTGAGTAATCTGATACCAAAAGGTCAGTCAGCACAATTTGTGATCAATGTGTTGTTGTAAAATTATGGCTACTTGCAAATATCATGTTTAGGAGTAATTGAATATTAAAAGCTTAGTCAATATAATTTGGGATCAACAGGTTGTTATGATATTACAGTGTAACTACCTACCTCTTTATTTAAATCAAATGTATTAAAAAACATTCAACTTCATATAATGATATTAGGGGTTGGCTATAGACATCCGGTACTTGATTTTGATAATGTTTTTAGTCTAGGAGGCTTGTTGGGTTAAGTTTGAACATTGTTTTTAGATGTCAGAAATGTGTTTTGAATTAATTACGATAAAAACAAATTTCACTAAAAATTGTGTAATAATGAAACACAAATATGTCAATTTGTTCTCATATTATGAAGTAGATGTCTGGTACTTGATTTTTAATTTTGTTTTCAATTTAGGAGGATTGTCAGGGTTAAGCTCGAACCATTTACACTGTTTTTGGATTTCGGAAATGCCTATTGAATTAATTACAATAAAAATAATTTTCACCATAAATTGCATATAACGAAACGCAAATTTGTCAAATTGTTTTTTTAATACAAACACACACATAAATCAAAAGTTAATCACTCGAACCCAGACAATCCATTTGTGGCTGGAGACGGGACTTATATACAACAAATTGAGTTGCAGTGGAGAGCAGTCAAGAGGTTTTTCAGAAAACTAAATTATAACAATTCACATTACATTATTTCATTTACCACCATCATAGCAGAGTTTAAGGCAACCAGACTTTATAGATAAGATTGGTTGATTTGGTTCTAAAACCGAATTAGTACAACCAAACTCCACATAGTCTTGTCTGCCCCACCCCTAGTGTTTTTGTAAAGTTGTAGGCACGGAAGGTGAGCAGCCCCCGCCCGCTGTAGCAAATTGGAGGCATCTAAGTGAGTCGTAGCGGCTAAGGCTGGGCTTCCCATGACCCTCCCCCCTACCCCTCCCAACACCGTAGGGCCGTTGCAGAAGTAACTTTGTGTCCAATATTCCTGTATAAAAAAGTGAGGTTATAATTTTACAAAAAAATTGTTACTCATAAACTATACATTTCTGCAACGGTGGAAGGATAGGGGGGCCTTCCCATGAATCCCCCCTCCCCTCCCCCTCCCCCTCTCCCACCAAACACTGTACGCGAGTACCGGACGTCTATAGCTAAAAATATATATATATATATATATATATACAAACAAGGATAAGAATTTTAAAAAATCTTTTAGTTTTTTGTAATTGATAAGTCTAAGGGCGATTGTCTACCGCCTCTGTGTCAGCAGGACTTCAACGAAAACGAGATGACGGCGCCGAAGTCACTATAGCCGCATGTCCATCTCAAGTCCGTCGCCTGAGCGCCGTCATCCCGGCCGCCGAAGTTTTGAGTAGATCGGCGCCACTGCTAGAACTCGACCCGTGATTTTGATGGGCCGATGTACCGGCACGGCAATACAAAACACGTTTAAACTTGACCATCCACATCAGCGCCATTGGCCATGACGTCGCACCGTGCCGAGTTTTGTTTTCAATAGTGTAACAAAAGGGGCCAAGAAATTTAACGCACGGCACGACAATTACAACAAACTGACTGACAGAACTTGAGAATGTCGCGATGGACAAACGAGCGTCGTCACGTCAATTTGATCTCGGCCAGAAATAATGTGGTTCTCGTTGACATCCCGGTGACGGTGGCAGTGGACAATTGCCCTAGATCTTGATCAACAGTTCTTGTTATTATAATGATTTCTTATATTTATGCGAACACTACGAGGGGTGATATGAGTAATGATAATTGCTTATTTCCAGTGCACATAAAAATCCAAAAAAAATTGTTTTTGTTTGCTTATGTAGCCACTAGATCAGCATAAAATCAAAATACACCAGCATAAATAGTAATCATATAAATAGGCTAAGACTCACTGGAGGTAGCGTTGCCAGGCATCCGGATAAAGCCGGACACAGTAAGGCTTTTTGGTTGCGTGTCTGGCGAAATTAGACGGTGTCAGGCCTGACCATCAGGCATATAGCTGAAGTCACAGGGATCTCATATAGCAGTGTTCAAAGAATCCTTGTGAACAAATTGCATATTAAAAAGGTCTCTGTTATGTTAATCGACGTGAAAAAGAAAAGAAATGAGTCTACATTTCGAGGGTGAATCTCGTAAGGTTACAAGCAGATCAGGGACATTTTTCGTTTCGTTTCTTGAGCATGTACGAGACCTGGAGCCACCATGAAACCAAGAAACAAGCCGCTTCACCGATGCCTTTGAAGAAATTCAAAGTATCAAGTTCGGCGGGAATGTTATGGCGTTCGTTTTTTGAGAAAAAAAACCACTATTTCGGACTCTTACTACGCAGGCTAATAAGTAAAAAGATTGCGGGAGACTCTTAAGGAAAAAAGTCGATGGCAAACTGCGAGCTGGAGTGCTGTTTCACCAAGATGACGCTCCAGCTCACAAAGTTGCAGTTGCGATGGCTGCCATTCAAGAAACGGGATTTGAACACCTCGAAAACCATCCTATTCGCCAGATCTAGCTCCCAGTGACTTCAGACTTTCAGTAGCTCAAGGGAATCCTTCGAGGCAAGAGATTTGCAGACGATGGCAGAATGATAGACGCTGTTAAGGCTTTTTTGGAGCGTCGAGATATTTTTTTTTTTTACTAAGGGAATTTGGGGTTTAGAAAAAAGATTGACTAAATGCATTCACTTGTTAGGAGACTATGTAGAAAAATAAATTAGTTTTTAACTATAATCACCGTGTTCAAAATTAATTATCATTAGTTTTGGATCACCCCTCGTACACATTGAATAAAACTACCTTTACAGATTCCGGAGGACTGAGGTGTTTGACGTCCCGATGTCATCATTAGCCTGGCTACCTTCAGCTTTTGAATATTAATTTTTGGTCCGATTTACGCAGAACGAGCTCACAGTATCGGTATTCTTTTACTCCAGAAATGTCGGGAATTTAAAAATAAGTTACATTTAATTGTTTTCTTGCGCCTGAAATGCAGGGAATTTCAAATTAATTTAAACTGTTCTTTTGCGCCCGAAGTGTCGAGAAATTAAAAATAAGTTAAATTAAATAGTTCTTTTGGTTCGACAAATTAAAAATAAGTTATATTAAACGCGATAAAATTCTTAAAATTAGTTATATTCAATGTTCTTCTTGTTCTTTGTCGGTTTGTTACCGTCTGCGGGCCTCTTCCGGTTACAGGATTTCCCTCCGTTGTCACCATAGATATATTAATATTTCTATGGTTGTCACGCTTGGCGGGCGAAACTCGCGTCGTGCTCTAGGTATTTTACTTCTGACGTATAGAATGTATAAACTAGATCAAAAATCTACTTGTGGAGGTTTATGACAAAAGATAAATATTGATAATTAATTTGATAAAGGAAACATCATATGAGTTTCATTATGTAGGTAATGATTTCTTAAATTTACGCGAAAACACTACACATTGAAAAAACCACTTATACGGATTTTATCGCGTTTAGTTAACTCATTCTTAGCTTATTTGACGTTTCGGATGCTTTACAGCACCCATGGTCACGGGGGCGGACTGAGATGTTTGAAGTCCCAATGTCATAGTTCGACTACCTTAATAGATAAGATCGGACCAAAAATTAATATTCAAAAACTGAAGGTAGCCGGGCTAACTGTGACCTTGGGACGTCAAACATCTTAGTCCCCTCCTTGACCATGGGTGCTGTAAAGCGACCGAAACGTCGGCAATTAAAAATAAGTTAAAATAAGTTAATTAAACGCAATAAAATCCGTATAAGTGGTTTTATTGAAAGTTTTGATTATATCTTTATATCTATACATACAAATAAATAAAACTGAAGTGTCTATCTGTGATCATGGAATAATTGCTTTATATTATACTCAGGGGGCTATTTAAGACATAAATAACCATTTTTTTTGTCTATCTGTCCGCCCGGGCTAAACTTCGTAATGGATGAATCAATTGTGGTGAAAATTTACGAATAGATAAGAGAGCAATGCCGGGGATCTAGGCTATGTTTTATCCGAAAAACTTGAAAAGATTGTTTTTGGAAAAAAACGGAAGTAAACGGTTATTGAATATTTTAAGTCTAAATATTGCTTCATTGATAGATCCAGGCAAAGCCGGGGCGTATCACTAGTACGTAATAAGGGACTGTTGGTAATCGTGTTGCTTCTGAACGACTTGACCATCATCATTCATCATCATCATTACTGCCCTTCTCAAGTCCACTGCTGAACATAGGCCTCCCCCAAGGAATGCCACAAAGCATGGTCCTGAGCCCGGATCCATCGACTTTCTGCATGTCTTACCAGATCGTCATTCCATCTAGTGGGGGGTCGCACTTCACTACGCCTGCCGGTACGTGGCCGCCACTCGAGAACCTTTTTTCACCATCGTTTGTCGGTTCTTCGAGTTATATGGCTGGCCCATTGCCACTTCGGTTTACTGATCAGTAGAACCAGAGTAACCGACATAGCCCAACGGATCAGTAAACTGAAGTGCATTTGGCCATGTAGCTCGAAGAACCGATCGATATCGATGGGGAACTAAGGTTTTCGAGTTGCAGCCTTGTACCGGTAAGCGAAGTTTGGAGCTGTCTCCAGCTACAGTAATGACCTGGTAAGTGATGCATAAAGTCGCCATGAAAGCACGTCCCTAAGCCCTTACTGCCCCCAGCACCTTCGCAGTGCTATCACGGTGTCTCGGGAAAACTTCCGAACCATCGTCCTCTTTGGAGACCACCCACAAAAACCACTACTATTAATGTTAATTGCGTTTAAATTACTCTGAAACAGAAATAGAAACTTTTTTATTCAATATAGATTATAAAAATACTTATTGAAAGTCACTTTTTTCCTTTACCACTGGTTCGCAACAAAAACCTCTGCCCTGGGAAGAACCAGCAAGAAACCCAGCGGGACAATTTTTTTCCCAATAATAGCTTACAATCATGTTTACAATTAACAATACAAGACAAATTAGAAATAGCTTGGTAGCGATCACCCTTCCCAGGGGTTATTATCATCCATAAATTCCTTAATATTATAATAACCCTTTTTATACAAACTTAGTTTAATAAAGATTTTGAACATTGTGTGTGTCTTGTGTACTCTCCCCACATCCTAGACTATACTGTGATTGTTTTTTCAGGGGTACCCTAAACACAAGGGTCCCGTCATGGGTATGATAATCACGTTAACTGCGGTGGGGGTGATATTGGTGATCGCAATCTGCATAGCGTGCTGCTGCCGGGGACGTTACCGCGGGCGGGTGCTATCGCGTGAGTAACCAACCTTATACTTTTTAACCTGGTACCTTTTAACCAACTTTTTTTAACCTAATACTTTTTATAATTTATACTTGTGATAACATCACTTGGTGAAAGTCGAGCTTTATTTTTGTGATCTAGATAAACACTTGTACTACTTTCACAATATTTATTTTATAAGATATTTATAAGAACTGCCGGTTTCGCCTAACGGCATCATCAGTGGTACATAAGAATGATATAAGAACGGTAATACTTTTAATTTTAACCTAATACTTTTTAACCAAATACTTTCTATTTATAAAGGCAATGGAATTTTACGTGGTATAGCCATGTTACAACACACAATGCACACACCACGTAACAGTGCTGCTGTGATGATTTAATGGTAACGAGGCATTTCATCTTAATCCTCAGGGGTGACAACGCATCTATATTTTGATTCGTAATCGAGGATACAAGTATATGTCTACGGGTCACAGTATCCACTTACCATCAGGTGGACTGTGTTCGGTTATAACCCGTTTGTATTAAAAAAAATCTGTTTTCACCCATATCGAACGTCTAAATATTCTCAATTTCATGATTATGACTTAGCGTTCTCTATGAAATCATCACAATTATTGGTCAATAGGTACGTGTTATTTTTTTAAACTATATGTTATAATTCCTACACTACACTACTAGTCGACGAAGCTTTATTGCATGACTACCTCGTTGGCCTAGCGAATGTAAGTGTGACGTCTGATCATGAGATCCTGGTTCGAATTCCGGGTGGGGCCAAAAGATATGAGCTATGGGGTTTTTATGCCAAGACAATCTCAGTAGGAGCCCGGAATCAGGAAGTTAGCAGTGTTTCACTGTAAAGCACGTAAAGCCTGATTCTCCGGTCGTGTTGGATTGCCGTCAAATCTGATTATGAGAGTGAGGAAAAAGAGAATTGTGCTTGCGCATACACTCGGGCTATATAATCGTATAACGCTTAGATGGCTAGTCTCCGTTGAAATTTGTCGCTGAGACCGTAATTCGGTCTCGGCGGCCAGTCTCAATAATCAGGCAGAAAAACATCTACGTTGCATGTTCTACGTCGAATTTACAATCGCCATAAAACGGATAACAAGACATTATGATCAATTTTATTATCTGAGAAAAGATCGTTGAAGCAGCATCTTATTGAATAGCTTTATTTAATTTAACATGCTATCAGGGTCACTTTAATTTCAATGGCTCACTTCCTCTTCCGATCAAGGCCAGTTAAACTTGTTAAACCTGAGATTAATGTTTTGTATAAAAGTTAGCGACGATCGACAACCAGAAAAACAAAAAATGGTCTAGGTTTCTTTTTTAATATAGTTGCAGCATAGCATGGCTCTACGACTAGAAATCTTTAAACATCGCGGTACATTGATTCGAATCCTGGCCACGTTTATAAGTTGGATGTTAAGCTTTTTCTTTCCATTGCTGTTTTGTATAATGCGTCGATGTACATATATTGTACTTTTTTATCGCAGCTCCCCCCGCGGCGACCCCAGGCCCCGCGCCTTATCCACAACAGCAGTACACGCCTTACCCAGGTAATGACTTTATTCGTTGCACAAAAGTGTACAGAGGGCAGACTTAACATCTTAAGGTTAACATATTTTTTTAAGTTTTATAGTTAACAAACCAAAATTTTGGTATATGATTTTTGACTATATGATCTTGGATTGCATAAAAGGAAAACACGATATGTAATTTTCTCGATAGAAAAAAATTGCAAAGTAGGTGCTAATTATTTACATTTCTCGATGACACCTCAATATTCTTACGAATAATTTCATGGAATAATTTTTAAAGTATAGTAAATAATCATATCTAAGTTCTCATAAACCAGTTTTTTAATCCATAACGAAGTTTTGTTAAAATAAATAAAAATGTTGTTTGGCGCTTACTTAGTTTTTTCCCGTGCGCTTGCTCGGTATGGCTATCTCATAATTTGCAGTACTATGAACTCACTGCATCACTTTCACTTTGACACTCCCGCAGTCATCCGTCAGCTTCACCGACAAAGGAATAAGCCACGCCCCCAAAACTTCGATTCATTTTCAAGGTATCCTCTTAAGATGTTCTCTGCCAGTCAACCTTTTCCCGATTCATATATGCAAGAAACGTTTCGTTCTCCGTAACGATCCGTTTTATAACATACGACCTCCATATAAAACTGTTTATATAGAAATGAGAATATCCGCAGTAGAACCCGAGTGACCGACATAGCCCAACGGATCAGTAAACTGAAGTGGTAATGGGCCAGCCATATATAGCTCTAAGAACCGAAGATTGATGATGAAAAAAGGTTCTCGAGTGGCAGCATCGTACCGGTGGGCGAAGTTTAGGGCGACTTAGATAAAGTGACGACTAGACTAGACATGCAGGGAGTCGATGGATGCAGGTGGCTCAGGACCGTGCTTTGTGGCATTCCTTCGGGGAGGCCTATGTTCAACAGTGGACTTGTGAAGGGCGGTAATGATGATAATGACATTATTTTCATTTTTACGTAATATTAACGCATCCAACAATCGCCACCTTATCAGCAGAACGACTGGCAGATAACTTTGTGGGATTAGCCGTCATGGTTGACTGGCGAATTGGCGGCCGCGATACTAGAAGTCTTACGTTCGACCCTGTCCCTTCGTCACAGTGCGGGATTACAACGCCTTAAGAAAAATCGAATACGTTTAAGAGAAAATTAAGAGTTATATTTTTTGTTACTACTTCGCTTCCCGGCTACTATTACTTCGTTCTGTAAGCTGGCGGTCCACCACTGTGCGATTTACTAGGGAGTTTTCTTCTTCGCGCAACTTACGTGTGGAATCGACTACCACAAGCGATTTTTCCGGACTGATACGATTTAAGGACTTCAAGAAAAGAGCCTACACTTTTTTAAAAGATCGGCAACGCATCTGCAATTCCCTTGGTGTTGCAGTTGTTTATAGACGCTGATAGTCACGTTCCATAAGGTGAGCCGCATGCTCGTTTGACCCCTCTTTTATATACAAAAGTTATTAGTATTTGCCTAAAAATAGTAGCTGTCTTAAATGAAAATGCAACTGCGTGGAATACTTATTTTATAGAATAAGGGTGACAAGCGAGCACACAGTCCACCTGATGGTAAGTGGATGCTGTGGCTCATAGACATCCACATTTATCCTCGATTAAGAATCAAAACGCAGATGCAGATGCGATTTCACCGTTGAGGATTAAGGTGGAATGCCTCGTTTCCAGTAAAAAAGGGTCTCCGGATCTCTACACTCACCACACGAATCACAGCACCATTAAGCTGCAATTTTACGCCTGGTATTCTGTGAGAGCGTGGTCCTCCCCGGTCGAGCCGACCCATTCGTGCTACATCCACAATACAGCTGCAACGTGATTTTATGACGTTTAAATATTTACCGCGACCACACACGGATCTATACGCGGTCCACAACTGTAACACACTTTTTGTTCTGAACAGGCGATCTTGCAGTACTCGAGTACATAAAAGTCTTGGTGTTTAACATATCCTTAATATAACTATATTATTTTACATCTTTCTTTATTAAAACAAAATAATAATTACAGTCCAAGTAGTGACCACATATCCGGTCGCTTCACCGGCGCCATATCAGCATACGGCGGCACCGTATCCGGCGTCCACGTCACCGTATCCGGCCGCCGCACCGTATCCGACCGCTTATCCGAATGCCGGGCCTCCGTATCCGATGACCGGCGCCCCGTATCCGACAGCAGGGGCCCCGTATCCGACGCATCTACCTCATCCCAGCGCTCCGAGCGCGCCTGAAGCATACGGTATGTGATATTTCTATTACTATTACTATTATTATTAAAGATGTTAAAAATTTATTAGCTATTGCCCAAATACTCAAACGCTACCCAATAGGGTATTTTACACCATGTAAAAAAACATCAAAATATATATTTATGATAGATTTTGTAAAAAGTAAACGAGAAGTATTGATTTTTATATTATATAAAATTGCATTATAAATTTTATATTTCAATTTTAAGAATTTTTTTTCGTCTGTGCCTCAAATCTCCAAAACGCTGTCTGCCATATTAGATACTGTCGTGACGTCACTGATGCCGCCTAAGGGTATTAGTGTTCTGTGTCACTGATTAAGAGAACTAGCTAATGTGCTGTGTTATTTCGAAAGTTTTCAAGTTATCAGTACGATTATTGAGTTTTATTCCAAATTTTATTGAAAAGGCATCATGGAAGACGAATTCGTAAAAGCAGAAAGTACTAATCTACCAAGGATAAATAAATTGATGGTGGCAAAATTATTTACATGAAAATAAAACATCAATTTAAGTACCTATTACCAACTTTTGTTTATACAAAAACACAATACCAGGTCAGCGTGTATTTTGATAAAACAAGGTTTAGTAGCTATCGCAGTTTAGCTTATCTATAATTACAATCATTAGCAATGATTAGTTTAATTACTATGTTAACGTAATTTATAACAAAATTTGACTCGCGATACTCTTCACCTCATGGTGTTTTGTTTTGTATAAACGGTAATAAAATATAAGTCATAATTACATCAAAATGAACTTCACAGAAAAATAGTCTAGTTATTGTAGACAATGTATTCGGGTATCTTCTTTGCCACTTTTAACCAAATATTTCTTATATATAAATCAGTTAGCATTTGAATCCATAAATTTCCCGGCGTTTTTATGCTAGTATTTTTGCATTCAGGCACAACACAACAATGATATGGACGATAACTCATTATTAAACATTAAAAAGTATCTTATTCCTTTGCAAAATCGGCAAAATTCTGGCACAGTGACGTCACGAGTAAATCGGCATGACGGTTTGCGTTTTTACCCGAAAATTTAAAAGGATGGATTAAAAGTAATTTTTATTGCACTATTCGGTTTTAATAATTTTATACAAAAATTATTGTGGTTCATAATCACTCTAGGATTCATTTAAAACACTTTGGAAATGGGTGTAATACCCTATTGTAGGATGTCGATAAGTTTCTTGCTGCCTATATACTACATATAGGTGCCGTATTGTTGCGCGTCATAATTAATGCCTGGTACAAGGCGACCTTAGTTACCACTAGCGCCATCTAGTATCGAGTAGCATAAATAGCAAAATCAAGTATCCTTCTAGAGATTTCCATGCCAGAACTTTCTACACCTAGTCATTCGGGACCGGTATGTACTCGAACATTTTGATGTTTAGGTAGAAGAGGCCCTATATAAGGCTGGTATAGATCGCGACCCGAATCAGTATTGAATTGGCGATACAAGCGAATACTTTGAAGCGATTCAACTGCGAACTAAAGTGATCAGTAGTACAATTAGTGTGCTTTAAGTTGTAATTTTTGGTAATTAAATCGGCAGTTTTTACTGTCACGAACCCCAAGCTCATAACAGTATTTTAATCGGGTGTTGGCACCTCAGTTCACAAAAGTCGGTTGTCGGACCCGATTGAAGCTCGAGCCATGTTTTGGCAGTCTATGCTAGGTTACTATACACGATGGACGTCGACGAATCTCTTGTTGTGATGTATTATTTTAGAAGGAAATAAACATAAAAAACAAACAAAAGAAAAATTTTTGAACACCTCTTTCGTGAACTAGTGTGATAAAATTTTTACGATTCATATTCTTTTAATTTATGTTGGGTGGTAACTCAGCGTGCGAGCCGCCATATAGAGGGTTGCCGGGTGAACAGCGCCATACTCATAGACGAACGAGATTCGACACGATTTTTTTACGAACATAGAGGGCTGGCAAAACACCCGACATTTCTTGTAGCCACCGAAAAAAATACGGTGTCGGATAAGTGTGAACAGGTTTATATAAAATGTTTTGCCACTAGAGTAGCCGATTTTCGGTCAAGTTCGGACAAGTGGAAACGAACTCCAATCAAGTGACACAAACACCACGAGACACAAACGACATCTTAAAATTAAGTAGATATTGAGTATCTGCGTAGACGCTGCGGCAGACCGCTTAGATTGGTAGTAAACCATCGCAGAGTTTATTTCATCTGAGGATGCATCGTTTAGAGGTGAAACACGTGTCGTATTATTGTCGGTGTGTCTTTCTCAGTGTAGCGGTGTTGGGAGTGGTGGTGACGGGGATAGTGCACGCATATGATGAAGGATGATGAGGCCCAAATACATCAACATTTATCTTCAATTAGAACTAACATCAAACCCTTTATCCCGAGTACGTATATACTGTAACTTTACTTTACTTTAGAAACAAAATGCAGATGCGTTATCACCCGTGAGTACTAAGATGGAAATCCTCGTTTCCAGTTAAAAGGGTCTCCAGTTCTCTACACTCACCATACAAAACACAGCAGTGTAAAGCTTCACAAGCATTAATTATAGTATATAAGTAATTAAATACCTGGGTATATGAGTGAATATGAGTCTAAGAGGCGACAGAGGTAAACAAATCAGATGGGCGGCAGCGTTTTCTTAATAAAGACTAAAAATGAAAAAAAAAAAACTGCGTTTGTTAACCCGCTTGCCAAGCGTGGTAACTATGGCAAATATCCCCACTATGATGCAATCAGTAGGGGAGGCCTGTGTTCAGTTGTGGACTTTAAAAGGCTGTGATGATGAAAATAAAGATGATGCAATAATTTGCAATGGATGTGGCGTACTGATAACTAATAAGCCGCGTTGTTTTTTGTATGCGGTTATCGGTAGACGTGAGCCATTAGTAGCCTTGTTTCGAGAATATTTAAAAACTAGGTACTCGCCCCAACTTCTTCTGGACTAGGATCTATTAATGTGGCTTTATTTAGATTTAAGATAATGAAACTCCATTTATTTTATCCATTTTTTTAACTTTAAGGGACTAAATATAGCCTAGATTCATACCAGCGTAAAATAGTAGCTTAATGCTGCTGGTTTCGTGTGGTAAGTCTACGAGAACAGGAGACTGGAAACGAGGCATTCCATCTTAGTCCTCACGTGTGACAACGCATCTGCATTTTGATTCGTAATCGAGGATAACTATGGATGTCTATGGGCCACAGCATCCACTTATTATCAAGTGGACTATGTGCTCGTTTGTCATCCTATCCTATAAAAAAAAGATTCCTCCTTATATTGCTCTATATATGTTCGTATTCATCACAGTCGGTTTAGCCATTCCCAAGTTTAACCCGGACAGTCAGACAAAAATGTTAAAAAGTTATTTTTGTATAATTATTTATGAAATAAGAATATAAGAGGAGTTCCTCGAGCAAGTAGATGAGTTTGTATATTTAGTATGTGTATTCAGCAAGTATGGGAGATATGATGAGGATATAGAACATAGAATACTATAATACATACATAATAGAACGGAGGAGTGGGTGGAGCCCGCGTAGCCACTAAAATGTCACTAAAATGTCACTAACATGTCGATTCACACGTATAGATGTCAACACGAGATGTGTTTTGACGTTACAATCGTTTCCAAATTTCGCATGCAAGTTATTTAGAAAATGACAAATTGCACCCTATTTACAAATAAATATGTATTAAAATTATACCAAAACAAATTATAACAAAAGTCATAATGTGTAAATTTACTCAGTCTGTCAACACAGCGAATCGGATTTGGCGACGCCAATTCTCGTATAAAAAAGTTGACAGCCATACTATTGTGTATTATAGTATTCTATGATATAGAACGACTAGTGAACGCAGGAAATAAAGTAAATGGGGTCATACACTCTGTTGTGGAAAGTCGGAATGTGTCGAAAAAGGCACTCTCATGATGGCAATTGGCACTGATGGCAATTCACAATTAAGTCGCTTAGTGAGCTATGGAAATGACTATTCTCGGGGTTTCTCTGTATGATAAACTTAGAAAGGAGGATATTCGCAGTAGAACCAGAGTGACCGACATAGCCCAACGGATTAGTAAGCTGAAGTGGCAATGGGCCGGCCATATAGCTCGAAGAATCAACAACCGTTGGGGGAAAAAGGTTCTTGAGTGGCAGCCTCGTACCGTTAGGCGTAGTGTAGGGCGACCCCCCGCTAGATGGAGTGATGACCTGGTAAGACATGCAGGAAGTCGATGGCTGCAGGTGGCGTTCTTTGGGGGAGGCATATGTTCAGCAGTGGATATGTGAAGGGTTGTAATGATGATGGTGATGATGATAACAACCTTTTTTAACATAAAATCATTGATTCCATGGCCCCTGAACCTAGTACAACTGTGTTTCAGGAACCAGTTTTTCCCCTTAAAGTTAGCCTAATCAAAAGGTCAATTTCTCTAAAATAATTTAAAGTTATTAGTTAGGTAAACAGCTTCAGAAATATAAATAAGAAAAAAAGTAATTTTAACATTGAATAAAACTTATTTTACGGAGTTTATCGCGTTTAATTTTTACTTTTTAATTCCCGTTATGTACGTGACGTGAATAACATTAGTTTCATTTAATTTTTCGTATGGATCATACTCATACATACAATTTCATAATCCAAGTTTGTCATTAAAATATTATACATAAACACATTTCTAAACAAGAGCATTTACGCATTGTTTATATTCGTCTATGATTAGATAAGGATGACAATAACAAGCACACATTCTGTTGGCATATGTAAAACTTTAGTCAATATAAAGTCTCATAACCTTATAACGGATGTAGTCAAAATAAGTCTATTAATTCTTTCTTTGTAAAACGATAAACTTTGCTTGGCATTCGAATATAGAATTTGGTACAGTACGTACCGACTTCAACGGAAGTCGAAATCCGTGTGTACTGCCTACTGTACGAAATTCTATAATACCATATTCCAACTCAGACCA